CTGAGTTTGTTCAAAAGCACGAGAAGTATATACAGATATACATGGATAGACCTAGAAGCTAGAAGGTCTTAGAGTAGCAAGCTGCCTGACACCGTTGGCCCCTCTTAAAGGGAAGACCCTGATCTTGGATTCAAAGCTAAGCATCCCACACAATCGTTCTGGAGTTCTTTTTGCATTGCACAACTCTGTTGACCAGTGACAGATCTTAGAACTCTTGCAGCATTGATTAGACAGAGCGGTGTCAACTTCACTCAGAGTCTCACGCTCATGCTAGTTCTTGACGAGCCAGAGGAGAAACAGGACTGGCCACTGTTGATGCAGTGCTTCTGTCACACCATCTGAAATTTCAGAAGCTTTCTTCTTCAGGGAGAGGGTTCAGTGGATATGGGTGTGTATTAAGATAGTGGGGCCTTCCAGTTCGACCCCCTGGAAGAAGGAAAAGGGGATCTCTTAATTCAAACACGCACCCATATGACTGGCTTGCACACAGAGGGCCAGGCATCCAGCTAGCTTAGGATGTTCCTACCACAACTAGAATCATTTTGTCAGGTGATCCGTTCCATTAAACCACTGCCTTACCAAAACAAACCAAACTTATGGCCCCATGGGACTATGGATCTTACTAAAACAGCTCCAATCACTTCCATTGACTCGTCCCTCTCGGCCGAGTCCCTCTCGGCGACGAAGGGGGGACTCGGCCGAGTCCCTCCACGACGAGGACGTCTTGGGACTGGGACGAAGCTCCCAGAAGTGACTGGCTCCGGATGTTGCTAGCAAGGAGCTTTTGGTATCACACACCGATGCTCTCTCATGTTGTGATGTTGCAGAAAGCAATGGCACACGATGCTTCTTCTGTTTACATGGCGGAAGCTTCTTGGGAGTGTCAGAACGGTTGATGGCTTGTCCATCATAAAGCATCGTTTTGCTTGCCTCAGCATTCGCCCGCAAGAGAAGGAATTACGCAGGTGATATCCTCTCTTTGTCGGCAAATTGGTCTTGGGGAATTCTCAAGAAATCAAAGTGCATTCAGACTCAGACTCAAACTTGGTGATGCTTTTGTTTGATTCCGCCGGCTAGCCTCTGCAGATAAGAAGTCACAGCCTAGTTGTACTTGACTAGTGAAGGCCAAAGTCTTACGCCCTGGAAGATTAACATAGAACCTGAAAACCACTGGTTTGTAGAGGAACATCCTCTTCCAGTCTGGTCCATGCCAAGCCCGGTTCCATGTGGGTACAGCATCATGGGGGGTCGTTCACGTTCACATCTCCAGCGTCTCTCCCGTCACAGCGGTGCAGGGCCGAGAGCAGCGAGCGAGCGAGGAGCAGACGGCCTGGGTTCTGTCAGAGCCTGGGTTCTGTGAAGTGGAATCCTTGGCCTGGGTGGCCTGTCTTCATGTCACTTGCCCAGAGTTCTGTTACATCAGAGCCGGAGTCAAGTGAGGCTAATTTGAGTGAGCATGACTGTGCGAAGAGGCCCAATTGTTTTACACATTGTTACTGCAGGCAGATTCGAAACATGTTTGAGTCCTCCATTCACTACTTGGACACATCAGTGCAGATCAGGGAAAACTCCCTTAGAACTGGCGCACCACCCGTGCTGTGCTGGGTGGCTTTTGTCGACCCCCCCTGACTATCTATGTTCTGTCTAATAACCATGGTAGTGGAAGTTAGAAGTTAGAAGAACACTGTTGGTTCCCATGAGGCACCTGAACTGTCTCAGCGATTCGCCAACAACCACGGATCCTTTCGTACGCTGTGGACTGCGCGCTTCTTTTTTACCAGCGAAGACTGGAACTTGTGCCCACATCTAAGGTTTTCTTTGTGGCCAAATCGAAGCTAAGAGGCAATGTGATATCAATCATGCAGTTTTCGAAAAGGACATGAAAAGTCATTGCCTTGTCCGATCTTCTTTACTTGCAGCTTGTGGGCAACGAAGTGCTCCGCAGCCATCCCTGCACCTTGTCATGCCTTCACGTGGCTCGGGGACCAGAAAGGTTAGTTTTGCTTTGGCAAGGGTGCTGAGCAGTTGCAAGACTTAGGCTCTAAATGCAACGAAAGAGCTGTGACACCTCTCATGCACCCCTCCTTTCAGTTGCGAAAAGCCTCCCCATTTGCCACCCTTCCATGCCAATCCAAGAATATCCGAGCTCGTCGCATCGCGATCAGGCGCCAGTCCTCGGATTGCAGCGATCCGAGGGCAGACCACTGACAGCTCAAGGGAGACTAGGGAGACTGGGTGAGGAACGACCTACGCACACCGTGCGTGGACTGATGCATGTTTGATTCACGAACGGTGCCCAGATCATCAAAGGGTGGATCTGGAATTTGATATCCAAAAGTTCCAGAGAACAGTATTATTCCCAACTGTCCTGCCAGAATATGTCACGTGGAATGAGACTTTTGAAAGAGACTCTGTGACCGACAAACCAGCATGTGAGACAGTTGTAGTTTGTTGTAGTAGCACTACCCACACGATTTCTCAATCACAGATGTGTACTAGAGCGAAAGAAAAACCAATTGCAGGTCAGCTATACAGGGCGAGTTGGTTTGAGAAGGCTTTAGAAGATGGCCAGGAAGCACGAAACGATTCGTTTCATTGCATGTTAAACATGTGGCTGTTGGTCAAAACCTGGAGCCCCGACCCCTGGTAGGTTGACCTTCCCGGTAGTCTATTCTGTTCATTTTTGGTGGTCAACCAGCTTCCCCCAATTCTTGATATCATCCACGTCCTTGCAGTGTCCCATTTTGCGCTGGTTGGCCAGACCAGGTGTTTGTGAGGATGCTTTGATGGCAAGATTCTTCACCCAAGCCAAAGGAGTTCGAAGAGGACATGAA